CCTCCCTATTGCAAAACAGGTGAAGTGATGGCTGCAATAAAGTGTAGCCAGGGTAAATGTGGCTTATGTGACGTGTGGTCAAGGTATATTGTGGCTAAAACTGAATCGTGTCCAGAAGTGAATTGTAGGCCTAAAGTCAAGCGTGGCTATGTGTGAAATGTGGCCGAAATAAATAGATGAAACAGACGGACTGCGACTAAAAGTGTAATTGTCGCAAAAAAAAAAAAAAAAAAAAAAAAAAACGTGTATGTAGCCAAAAAAAAAAATAAAAACAAAAAGAAAATATTATAATACCAAGGCAACTTGTCACTGGCCTAGGTGAAGTCTGGCCCGAGTGAGGTAGGACCCAAAATGAAAGCAAAACCCAGCGAAAAAAAAATATATAACATAACCCCGGGAAACACCTATTCAAGCGAACCCCCCCCCCCCCAAGGCCAGGGAAACTGAGTCGATGTTGAATCCAAGATCGGAGAAATATAGCCGAGGGAGGGAGGCTTGGCCCGAGGTATTTGATGGGCACAAACAATGACGAACTTGGGGTCGTCTTCCCCCCTTTGAAGTTAATGAGAGAGTCCTTCCTCAAGAGCGAGGGAGACAGCTGGCTGTTGACCAAAGGAACGACCTCTCTGAGCCCAGAAGGAAGTCGAAAGGGGAGGAGTGGGGAGGGAGGGGGGGAGGAGGAGGCTGTCAGCTAATTAGATTGGTACTTACTTATTCCGTTTTCTCGTGTGGGCGCTCGCGAAATGCCTCTCTGGCTGCTAAATCGCTTTCTGTGTACCGGAGGTATTTTAATCTATGTTTTAAATCGCTTGAGGATTTTTTTTTTTTTTTTTTTTTTTTTTGGCTAAGCTCTTTGGCGCGGTGGGAAAAAAATGAATCTCCGGAAGTAATGGTTTTAGAGGTAATATTGATAATTATTTTTTTTCTCTTATTCATACCACTCTTGTGCGATAAGCCTAGATCCAAAATCAAAATATGAATGGATATAATGAATTGTTCTTTTCTGGATATAAAGTGATTTCCAATTCAATCCGCATCTTAAAACAGTTATAATACTTTATTCCTTCCTCTATTCTCTCTCTCTCTCTCTCTCTCTCTTCTCCTCTCTCCTCTCTCTCTCTCTCTCCTCTCTCTTCCTCTCTCTCTCTCTCTCTCTCTCTCTCTCTCTCTTCTATCTATCTATCTATCTGTATCTGTATCTTCCCTTCCTTCATTTCTTCCTTCCTCTCCCTCTTCTCCTCAATTCATCCCTCTTATCTCCTTCCCTCCCTCTTCCCCTTTCTTTTCCCTATACACTCATACATTCTCCCTCTTCCCTCTTCCTCCCACCTCCCTCCTTTATCCTATATCTTCCTCTCGCCTTCCTCTATACACTCATACCTTCACCCTCTTCCCGTATTTCCCTATCCCTCTCACCTCCCCCTTTATTCTCTATCTTCCTCTCTCCTTCCTCTCCTCATACGCTCCTTCCCTCCTTTATTCTCTACCTTCTCTCCCTTCCTCCCTCATACATTCACCCTCTTCTCGTCTGTCTTTCCCTCTCCCTCTCACCTCCCTCCTTTATTCTCTCCCTTCCCGCCTCTCCCTCTTCCCTTGACACTCTCCCTCTCACATTCTCAACCCTCACACAAAACACTCACTCAAGACAGTCAACATCGCAGCGTGTCGGATAGGCAGCGCGTCCCCCTTCGGTGTCACTTGGCACTGGTAGGCACCGTCGTCCTCGAGTGTCACGTTCCTTATTTTGAGGTTGTGGACCCCATCAGCTTCCGGTCCGGTCATGGAGAACCGGGAGAAGCCGGGGATCGACCGGTTGAATCCTGGAGAGAGAAGGAGAGGTGTGCTTAGTATAGCTGGCCTGGTAAGGGATGTTCTGATTATTATTATTATTATTGTTGTTGTTATTATTATTATTATTATCATTATTATGGTTATTATCATTATCACTATTATCATTATTATTATTATTTATCATATTATTATTATATTATTATCATTATTATATTATTATTATTCATCATCATATCATCATCATCATTATTATTATTATTATTATTATTATTATTATTATTATTATATTATTATTATTATCATTATTATTATTATCATCATATCATCTCATCATTTATTATTCTAACACAATATTATCATTATTATTATCACTATTATTATTTCATTACTATTATTAATGATCATTAAAAAAAAGACAAACAAACACAAAACACAAACACAAACACAACAACACACACCACATAATAAAAAAAAATCACAAGCAAAAAACAAGCAAAAAACAAAACGAGACCATTAATAACTACGAAATAAAAGCGACGAATATTACCCTTTGGAGAGCCAAGCAAAACGAGATCCTCCCTCTGTGAAACTATCAGAGGAAAACCCTTGCATTTTTAAATGTTAATTTGAAGGGAAAACTTTGGTTTCCTTTGAGCAACGCAACTCTGTTTACACTTCGCAGACAGAACAAATGATGCACATTTTGTAGGGCATTAGCCTACGTCTATGAAGAATTAGGAAGAGGAATAGGAGAAGAAAGAAGAGAAAGAGAAGAGGAGGAAATGAAGAAGAGAAGAGATCGAGAGGAAAATGAAGAAGAGAAGAGATGAAGAGGAGAAGAAGAGAAGAGAAGAGATGAAGAATCGAAGAAGAGAAGAAAGAAAAGATAGGAGAGGAAAATGAAGAATTAAGAAGAGGAATAGGTAGTAGGAGAAGAAAAGAAGAGATAGGATAGGAAAATGAAGAAAGAGATAGGAGAAGAAAATTAAGGAAAGAGATGGAAGAGGAAAATGAAGAAGAGAAGAGTTAGGAGATGAAAATGAAGAAGAGAAGAGATAGGAGAGGATAATGAAGAGAGATAGGAGAGGAAAATGAAGAAGAGAAGAGATAGGAGAGGATAATGAAGAAGAGAAGAGATAGGAGCGGAAAATGAAGAAAAAAATAGAAAAAGAAAAGAAAAAAGAAGGAAATCATGAAGCCAAAGCGAAGAGGAAGATGATGAAAAAGGAAGAAGAAGAAAAAAGCTAAAAGAAAGAAAGAAAAAAGATGAAGAAAGCTAAAAGAAAGGAAGATAATGAAATAAAGACCAAAAGAAAGAAGAAAAAGATTGATAATTCTAAAGTAACAAAACAAGAGACCCGGGAAATGGATATAAAAAGGAAATGCATTGCGGTGAGGATACAGGCATTTCACGCGCGGGTGGATAATTCTGCAGTAAAAGGAAAAGGAAAATCAGTGAAAGTGAAAGCAAAACCAAAGATGGTATGAAAAATTCCTAAATAATGCAAAGGAGAGAGAAGTATGCGTTACATGTTACATACAGACACACACACACACGCGCGCGCACAGACATACACATAACACACACGACACACACACACACACACCACAACACACACACACACACACACACACACACACACACAGACACACATATATACGTACATAGATAGATATATATATATATATATAGATATATGATAGAATATATATAACATAGAGATATAGAGATGACTAATAGATAGATATATAGAATAGATAGAGATAGATAGATAGATAGATAGATAGATAGAGAGAAGAGAAGAGATAGAGAGAGAGAGAGAGAGAGAGAGAGAGAGAGAGAGAGAGAAGAGAGAGAAAGAACATACAAAAACAAAAATCTCCGGTACATTCAGGCCACATTTCACTAACTCTCAATTCCTTAATCGCAATATTTAAAAAAATGTAAACTGACAGAGATAATCTGAAATAGATAGATAGAGAGACAGATAGACACACACACACACCACACACACACACACCACACACACACACACATAACACATACACACGCAACGCACACAGGTAGATAGATAGATGATAGATAGAGAGAGAGAGGAGAGAGAGAGAGGAGAGAGAGAGAGAGAGAGAGAGAGAGAGAGAGGGAGAGAGAGAGAGAGAGAAGCAGAGACAGAGAGAGAGAAGAGAGAGAGAGAGAGAGAGAGAGAGAGAGAGAGAGAGAGAGAGAGAGAGAGAGAGAGAAGAGAAGAGAGAACGAGAGAGAAAAAGAACACTGCGCAGAGAAATGAGATATCACAGATAAAGGTGAGGCGAATGAGACAGGGAAGAGAACTGTAATAACGAGAAACAAACTGAGGAAGAGAAAAAGAGACCCCTCCCCCCCCTCCCCCAGGCACAATAATTTCTCATCCTTTTCCTCTTCCTCTTAGTCCCTCCTCTTCCTTCTTCTTCTTTCACCTTTTCCTTCTTATCCCCCTCCTCCTCTTCTTCTTCTTCCCTTAATCCCCCTCCTCCTCCTCTTTCTCTTAATCCCTTCTCTCCTCCTCTTCCGCTTAATCCCCCTCCTCCTCTTCCCATAACCTCTCCCTCTCTTCCCCTTAATCCCCCTCCTCCTCTCCCATCCTCTCCTCCTCTTCCCCTTAATTCCCTCCTCCTCCTCCTCTTAATTCCCCTCTTCCCCCCCCCCCTCCCCCCTTAATCCCCCCTGCTCCTCCTCCTCCCCCCTCCTCCTTTCCTCCTCCTCCTCTTCCTCCTCCTCCCCCATCTCTCTCTCTCTCTTCCCAAAGATAATGAATTTTGGTCTGGTTCCCTCCTTGCTCCTAAGGGCGAGGTAAAAAACACACATCCCCTTTAACCTTGAAGTTGGTCATTAAGCGGCCCTCCAGGACACCCAGGGGGGGGGGGACCCGAAAGACCTGGGACCACAGGGGAGTTACTCTGGGGGTGAGGGGGTAAGGGGGTGAGGGGGGAGGGAAGGGGGGTGATGGGAGGGGGGGAAGGGAGGGGTGAGTGAGGGGAAGGGAGGGGTGAGGGGGAGGGAGGGTAGAGGGGTGAGGGGAAGGGTGGGAGGGGGAGGGAAGGGGGGGTGGGTGAGGGGAGGGGAGGGGGGAGGAGGGAGGGGAAGGAAGAGGGAGGGGGAGGGAGGGGGGAGTAAGATGTGGGCGAGGGGGAGGAGGGAGGGGGGGGGAAGGAGGGGGAGGGGAAGGGAGGGGGGGAGTAGATGTGGGGGAGGGGGTGAGGGGGAGGGAGGGAAGGGAGGGGAAAGGAGGAGGGGGGGGGAGGGGGGTGAGGAGTAGATGTGGGTGGGGGGAGAGGAGGTGAGGGGGTAGGGAGGGGGGCAGGGAGTAGATGGGGCGAGGGGGAAGTGGAAAGGAGGGGTGAGGAGGTGATGTGGGCGAGAGGGGAAGGGGGAGGGGAAAGGAGGAATAGATGTGCGCGAAGGGGAGGGGAAGGGAGGGGGTGAGGAGTAGATGGGAGCGAGGGGGGGGGGAGGGGGGAGGGGAAAAGGAGGAAGTGATGTGGCCGAGGAGAAAACGCCGGGGCTGGGAGGAGGTGGTGGGGGAGGACAGGTAGGGATGTGAACAAGGAAAAAAAGTGGGAGAGAGAGGAAAAAAGAGGAAAGGGGAAGAGTGGAATGGAAGGAAGTAGGAGGAAGACAGTAAGGACGGGAGAAGGAGGGGAGGGAAGGGGAGTGGTGGGGGGGGGGGGGAGCAAAGGGAAAGGAAGGAGGGAGGGAGGGTTAGCTAGAGGGAGCGGTTGAGGGAAATGAAGAGAAATGAGGATGGGGAGAGAGTCTGCCCAGAAGAAGACAAGGTGAGGGGTGGGACTGACATGAACGAAAAATGAGAAAAAAAAGAAGTGTGTGTGTATGTGAGAGGGGGGGGGTGGGGTGTTGAAAAAATGAAAAAGAAAAAGAGAAAAAAATGGAAAGCGTGTGTGTATGTGTGTGTCTGGGGGGGGGGGGGCATTGAAAAAATGAAAAAAGAAAAAGAAAAAAAAATGGAAGTGTGTTGGGGGGGGGGGTGAAAAAAAAAAATGGAAGTGTGTATGTTTGGGAGGGGGGGAGGCATTGAAAAAAGAAAAAAGAAAAAAGGAAAAAAATGGAGTGGGGATTGAAAGAAAAAGGGAGACAATAGACAGAAGTGGAAGTAAAGCGACATAAGGGAGAAAAGAAAAATTGAGAGAAAGTGATAGGTTGTGCGGAGGAGAGGAGAAAGTGGTGAAATATGGAGAAGCAATAGCAGAGATGAGTGTGGGAGGAGAGGGAGGGAGGGAGGGGGGTGGAAGAAATAAGTATGGAGAGTAAGAGAAAGGAGGGAAGAGGAAGGGAGGGAGGATAAGGGAAATGCGGGGGAGTGGGAACGAAAGGGAACAAGAGAGGAAAGAGAAGAGGAAGGTGTTGAGATGATAGAGAATATGGAAGAAAGAAGACAGGAAGAAGATTAAACTAATAAACAAGGAGAAAGGAGAGAAGGGAATGAAAAGGAGTATGACGAATGAGTAGAAGACCAGAAGGAGGGAAGAAGAGAAACAAAGTGATTTTTTAGAAAAAGAAGAGAAGAGGTAAGATAAGAAGCACACAAAAAAGGAAAGGATAAATAGGAGACTGAAAGAAGGGGAAGGGAAAGAAAGGACACGTTAAGAAAGAAGACGAAGGAGTAAAAAGAAAGAGGAGAACGAGAGGGGAAGCCAGAGGAGAGGAGGAACGTGAATAGAAAGAACAGAGGAGGGAGGAAAGGGAGAGAAACGAAATCCAAAATAAACATACGAAGCAAATGAAGGGAAGGAAGAAAAAAGGGAGCCGTCGCTTCGAAATGAAACCTAATTAAGACTGGGAAGCTGAATAGAACTGCAACAAAAGGGGAAACAAGAGGGAAAAGAAAGGAAAGGGAGAATAAAATGAGAAGAATAAGAAGAGAGAGAGAGGGGGGCGAGAGAGAGAGAGAGAAGAGAGAGAGAGAGAGAGAGAGAGAGAGAGAGAGAGAGAGAGAAGAGAGAGAGAGAGAGAGAGAGAGAGAGAGAGAGAGAGAGAGAGA